AAAGTAGAGGAAACCACTGTCTCTCCGCTGGCCCAGCCACTCAGGACCTTACGCACAATTCCTGTCTGCTGGTTAGGTTTGTTGTTATGATGATTCACACCAGGCTAGACTGGACGCACGTGATCGATGCAGTCTCTAAAACTCAGACAAAGTAAAGATCCAATCCAAGCACTCATAACCTCATTTCTTCCTATGAACCATTCTGTCCCAACTTTTGATCCGGCAAACAGCTGAGCAGGCTTTACAGTGAGAAGTCAGGTCATCAAGCTGACCTGGTGACCTCTGGGAATGGATCTAGGCTGGGAGAGTCACCTGATAATCCTAAACTCAGTTATTCCCTCCCTCTCAGCCGTGTCCGGGCTCGAAGGCAAACAAGAGACGCGCCGGCTGCCCTTGAACAAAGCTTACATAGACTGAAAGTCGCTGTTACACAATTACAGGCTAGATCTTACTGTGGCTCATACAAAGTAAGACATTACGATTGTATGAGAGATCTAGCTCTGTAAGATCTAGCCTGTTTAGTAATACTGAGGAAGGATTGCATGAGGTTAGACGACGTGAGCTTTTCTCTGATATGATTAGAGATAATCTGATTACTCATCTGTTTAGATAAATCAGTGGGGAGGTGTTTACAGGCCCAGAGCAGCCCAGTGCTGTAACCAGCGCCACTGTGATCTGTTCCGTTCCAAAAAGCCAGCTGAGAAAGCTATAGTAGGGTTTTAAGGCCACCTACTGCACAAGCTCAATGAGAAAAACCCAGATATGGCCCTGGTCACATCAGATGTATAGGCGTGCACACACACACGTTCACACTAATCTCTCTTTCAGCCCTGGAAGGCCTAAGTCAATTGCAATGATTAAATGAGGACCTGATGATGAGGGGATGAGAGAGAGAGAGCGTGAACGAGTCTTCTATGGGAATAGAAATGATTTAAATCAGACCTCAGATCCCTTTAGTGGGATAGGATAGGAAACAATCCAATAAGGCTGTTTTAAACATGCTAACTGGTGAGAAACAGCTGAACACCACTGCTGGTATAGTGCTGCAACATAACAGATCGGGTTATATCTGCTGTGCACACGCACATTATAACCAAGGTCACATGCAACAAAAAACATGAGCGCAAAGACCCGTACATAAATGCACAATCAAATGTATGCACGTGGAAAAAAGATGCAGACAAACAGTACACATGCACACATTCAATTCGGACGTGAAGGGGCCATTAACAGTGTAGCATTCCCTGAATGAAATCATTCCTGTTTTCATTTGAGTTACCTCTAATTACGCCGCAAGCAACAAACCACTATGACCTCACATCCTTGCTCTAACCCCCCACCCTCAAAAAAACATGTGCACACAGACACACACAGATGAGCCTACACGCCCACACATGCCCACTACAAACACTAAGTGGATGTGTGCACGATGCAGTTTTCCGCAAGTATTTACAAGCACACATGCACTTTATTGTAGTCGCACATGACTAGCTTCGACGTCACTATCAATGGGAATCCGCAAGATGTTTCCTCACTGGCCACACTGACCCACAGTGATACATAATTTGCTTATGGAGCCAAAATGAGGCCATCAGTGTTATGATGTGGTTTGTGTGACCTTAGGAATATTAGATTCACTTATAGGAAGACTCCTCTGTGTCTTCTTCATATGGCTGCAGGGGATGAGGGCAGAAATACATTTCTCTGGGATGACTCCTCATTCTCCTTCCTTTCTTTTGCATTTTTCACTACTGACTACTCACTACATGAATGAAAAAAGTCAAGATTCTCCCATGTTCCTTTATACACAAAGGTCCCATTACTTTGTAATGCATGGTTGCCATTGTTGCCTTGTTTCTCTCATATTGTGCTCCTCATTACAAATCTTGCACAATAATTGTGCCCAGCTTTGGCCAGAGGAACTAGTTTATTCCAACATTCCAGTTTAAAATTCAACAAATAAATTTGCCCA